ATTGAAATGATTGTATTTTTTGGATGTTGCTAGGGGCAGCGTTACCCCAAATTTGAATACCATAATACCATAGAGGAAAGATCAATATTTTGTAAATTAGGATTTTGAGTTTGATGTTTAAATTTGATTGTAAGAGAGGACGTAGTAGATGTAATCTGGAGTTTAGTTTCTTTCTTTTGTCGAATATGTGGTCTTTCCAAGTTAACCTTTTGTCAAAAATGAGTCCTAAGTATTTAACTTGTTTGGTTTGGGGTAATAATTGGTTACAAAGCTTGACTGGTGGACAAATGTCTGGGCGAAGGGAGAAAGTAATGTGGCTGGATTTGTTTGTGTTAATTTTTATTTTCCATAGTGTGAACCAGTTTTCGAGTAAGTTGAGGTGGTGTTGGAGTTTGAAGCTTGTTATTGAAGGATCAGAATCGGTGGCTAGGATACAAGTGTCGTCGGCAAAAGTATTGAGGATGGTGCAAGAGGTTGTAGGTATATCTGCAGTGAAAATTAGGTATAAAAGAGGAGAAAGGTCACTGCCTTGGGGTACACCGGCGTTAATCATAAATTGGTTTGAAATTGAGTTGTTTAGATTTACTTGGAAAGAACGATGAGTAAGATAGGATTTGAGTATTAAATAATATGGGGCTGGAAAGTTTGTTTTTAGTTTGTAGAGGAGTCCGTAGTGCCATACTTTTTCTAACGCTTGAGCGACGTCAAGGAAGACACCCGAGCAGTATTTTTTTAGTTCGAGAGAAGATGAGATGGCATCGGTGAGGCGGTGCAGGGGGTGGATTGTAGAATGGTGTGCTCGGAAGCCGTACTGTGAGTTAGGAATGATTTTATTTATTTCGGAGATATTTTGAAGGCGTTTTAATAGAAGTTTTTCAAATAATTTACCAAGAGATGGTAGGAGGCTAATTGGACGGTAAGAAGATGTTGTATTTTTGGGTTTGCCAGGTTTGTGTACTAGTATGATTGTTTAAATTTTCCAGAGTGGTGGGAAATAAGAAAGTCTGAGCATTGCATTAAAGATGTGGCAAAGATTTACAGGTTTTTTTATGTGTTGCATGCACAACCTGTGGATTTATGTTGAATTCAAAATATTATGTGTACCTATAGTTAAATAATAAATTTATTTTCATTACAAATAAAAAATGTAATAACATATTACAACTAAATCATTAATTTGTGTTACAGATAAAGTGTACTAACCGAAGTGGTAAAGTATTTGAGCAGTTCTATTAACATCAAACCGTTTTTAATTTAATTTTTTCCTGTAGATTATACACAAAGTTTTACTTTTAGTTTTGGTTTTGGCTATCTGTAAAATAATATTTGTTGTTTAGAAAGATTATTTTTCTATAGACTTTAAGAACGGCTACAACTTGGTTAAATAAGTGGGAATATAATATGAGCAATGGATTTATGAACAAAAATGAGTTCTTGACAAAGGCAACTGCAGAAGGTTTGCGAATAAGCTTAGAATCAACCATCGATTTATTAAACTATTTGTTAAACGATTGTAACTTTATATATGTTCTAACTGGTAAATTGAATCAAGACTGTCTTGAGGTAATAATATACATTTTATAAACTTTACATTTATTTATAAAATACCAATATTCTTTTATTTTATAAACTTTTTGGAATAATTAGGCAGGTAGCTGGCCCTAATGATCATCCTGCCACTCCTACATTCTTACAGCTATACAGAATATTATCAGTTTATTCATTAGTAAAGGCTCCTAAAACTGGAAATTGTTCTATTTCAACCGGTAAACTGTTGTACATTTTTAAAATACCAAAATCAAATAATATAATATGGTTATAAAAAATTTAATTTTTTAATTAATTTACTTGTGTTTATAAAAAATATTCCAGTAATAACATTATCAGATTTGAAAGAAATTGTCAAAGATCCAGATAATTCGCCAGAAAGAGTGAAAAAAATGAAAGTACTAAAAGAAAAAATTGATAACATTTTAGAAGATGGTCATTATGATTGTGATGATATTTTCCTCGATCATGATTATGCTGATTCAACATCTTTTGAATACATCGTTTATTATTTAGCAGGGTTTGTATTTCACTTCTATTTAATAAAATATGTTATTTATTTATTTTTTACTATTTTTTTTTTAGATATATAGCAAGACATTTAATAAAGCATTCGAAATGTGAAGTTTGTATAAGCAATTAAAAAAATTATAATAATAGTTCTAGGAGTGAAGCATTTTTGGTAAACTTGAAATCTCGTGGGTTTTTGACAAATCCAGATCAAAATTTATTTAATATTTTAAAATTATTAGAATCATGTTTTGTTAACCACGCAAGTTCTCAAAATGTATTTGAGGATACAATTGAAGAGTTCTTTAAAATAAATAATTTAAAATTAATATTTCCATGTCCCGACCATAAATCTCATGTTATGAGTGATTTATTCACTTATTATATAACTATGAGAATGCGTCAGTACACATATATAATAAATCAAGAGAATAAAAAAAATAATAGATCAAAAAAAAAGTTATCAAAATTAACCAACGATTAATGAATAAATAAATGTTAGGCCCTATCTAATACATCTGTAACAAAAATAAACTGTTTTATTCTTTATACATATCTCAATATCTGTATATACTTATAATAATTATACTATACTAAATAATTTATTTTTATTTTCTAATTTACTTGTTTTATTTTTTATAAACTGTCACTCTTAATGACTAGGTACATCTTGTATTTACTATTAAATGTTTGTAATCACACTAGTAACCAAGGACTGGTGCTCTAATAGTAGTAAAGAATACAGACCACAGTTGGGGCATCACAGTGAAACAGTGTGAAAGATAGTATAAATATAAAATATTTAATAATTAATAGTAACATTGTAATAATGTTATTATTATTTATGCAATCATCAATAATTGTTGTCTTTATTGATTCAAAGATTTCCCACAAGGAGCGCTCACTAGTTCTTCATTCTTATCACATTCAATTATGAGAAGGTCCATTTCATTGCATGAAGTTGTGCAACCAGTATATCTTAAATCGTGGTTGGAAGGCAACGCGAAAACCGCTATCAGCGATTTATCAGTTTTCAATAAATTTGTTCTTTATTTTTTTTTTTTTTTTATATTGATCTTAAGCTTCGGCAACTGAGGCCATTAGCTGTAGTAGGATTTGTATTGTAGGTTTGTATTGTATATTTTGGGATGGTAGGGGGGAACACGTGTGTGTTTGTTTTTGGCAGAATTTCGAATGGGGCACCCGTAGGTTTCTGCCATGCCCCGGGGGTGGGGGATGGCAGCACTTGTTCTCCGGTCACCGCGACTTGTCCTGAGAAAAATGCCGCCCGGTAGCCGAGGATCGAACCGCGACCGGCTGCGTCGCAGCGGACGCGGCAGACCACTCGGTCACCTCATCCCCCAATTTGTTCTTTATCTCGATGATTATTATAGTTAACATAGCCACTAACACGCTTACACGCGGTTAGTTGTATGTAAATGCCCCTTATTTTCACATATTATGTATAAATTGGTATAAGTTAAATCATGGTTATTTTCTTGTTTTATATTTACATTGTATTAATGCCCGTGTATAAATGTATTAAAATTATTTTGGATATATCATTGATTGCCTTATGAATTATGATACCTATGGTTTTGTTCATTCCTATATAATATTTCCTTTTCCACTGAAGATTAGTATTAAAACAATAATTTTGTTTAAATACTTCAATTATGGAGCTACACCTGATATTCAGATTCAATTTTTAAATTGTATGCATTTTATTGTCTATTTTTCAATACTATTAATTAAAATATTTGTTATTATTCAAAAAGTATAAGGCGTAGAAACTCGAAACTCTTACCAGTTGTTTAAATTGCCATTTTCTTTATATAATTTTATTTTCAAAATATTTCACTAATTTTTAATCTATTTACAGGCAATTTAAATATTCGATTGTTTAAAAAATTTTTTTTATAAATTTTGATAAAAAAAAATTCTTTGCGACAAAATACTTGAAAATTTAATTGAAGACTTTACATGAGTCGTTCTTACTGTTTTTCAAAAACTATAAAAAAGCATATGCACAATTTTTTTTAGTGAAAATATTGACAAAATTCGTCAAAATCATGAATATTTGCTAATTATTTTGAAGTTAAAAATTAATAAAAAATTTTTCATTTAAAGCTAAGACCTGAAAATTTAATTCAAGGTTTTCCATAATTTAAGCTTAGATTAATTATAAAAAAAATTTGACGAGTGTTAAAATTTTCACAAAATCAAAATGCAAACGTAAAATAACGATTTACAAACACGAATTTTGATTTTTGTTATATGACAATATTTAAATATAATAATATATCCTAGACTTACAAATCATCTTCGTTCAGAATCGTTTTTTGTATACAATGATACCTATCATTGCATTCAAATTTAACCTACTCTAGTCCGAGGTCCACCCCACCCCCTAATGTACAGCAGTTCGAGTTTCCGGTTTCTTCTATAGTACAGTAGAACCCGTTTAAGACGCTCTCGCTTTAAGACGATTTCTCGGCTAATACGCTCATTTTTACGAGTCCCTTGATTTTAACAACGTTTAACATGGAATTAACTCTGGATAATACGCTCTATGTTCCCGGATAAGACGCTCGCCTTGTCAGTTATATTAATATAAAAATACATCGTATATACGTATCACTAATAATAAGTAAATAATAACGATAACGAATAATGTGTACGTGTTAGAAGTACTGGTTTTCGGACGATAAATATTGACGATTAGATACGACACACTACACATTACACATGACTATTCACGTAATCGGAATGTAACGTAACCTGGCCCCAATTAACATAAGTTAGTGGTTGTATAAAGACTTATGGTGGCCATACACGTAACGGTCTACTGGAGAGGTATACCTGTGCAGGCATGCCTGTGCAGGTATACCGGACGTCGTTCGTGTCTCCGGTGTACCGGAGAGGTCTTCAGTTTTTTCATGATGGCATCGGACGAGGACGCACTAGCTTTGTTAGCCCTCGCGTTAATTATGAAAAAAAAAGAAACAAAACCAGTGAAAAGGGAACGAAAAAAGTGGTGTAAGGATTGGTTATTAAAAAGAGCAACTTATAGTCATGTAAACTTATTAAATTAATTAAAATTTGAACCTGAAGATTTTAAAAACTATGTCAGAATGGACGAAAAAACATACCTTGAATTACTTTCAATGGTGACTCCTATGATAAAAAAAGAAGACACTGTTATGAGAAAAAGTATTTCTGCGCACGAAAGATTATCAGTTACTTTGAGGTTCCTCGCTACCGGTAGAAGTTATGAGGACCTTAAATTTTCTTCAGTTATTTCACCTCAAGCGCTCGGGAAAATTATTCCTGAAATATGTCAGGCCTTGTATCAAGTTCTAAGAAAAGATTATCTGAAGGTGAGTAATTAAAACAATCTTATTGATTTTTATAGTACTTTCTATAATATATATTATGATATTATAATAAAATTATATGAGAATTAACAAAAATAAAATAAAAACAAAAACTTAACCTTTGTGTACAAATTTTACCAGCTGAGTAATTAAAACAATCTTATTGATTTATTATAGTACTTTCTATAATAAAATTATTTTAGAATTAACAAAAAAAAATTAAAATAAGAACAAAAACTTAACTGTACAAATTATACCGTATCAGGGGTGAAATTATTGATAAATGTCGCTGTAGAACCTGGAATCGATGGAACTGCCACTGTTTCATCGCGATAGACTTGAATTGTAGGTGTTTGCATTTCTATAGAGTAGGTATCGGCTTGTTGACTGTTGTTTAGATGGCTAGGTTGTAATAATTGAGATATATGCTGTGAATGTTGACCAGACTGTAAAGGAAAACAAGGTGGGCTAGGACTTCCCGAAGAAACAAAACTTGGGGCATATGACTTATTGGAAATAGGAGACGATTGATAATGAACCGGTTGTTGATATTGCTGAGCAGGTACATAGCTTCGTTGATGTTGCCTCAAAATATCTCTCATGTTAATATAGGCGTGATCGGGTGTGAGGTGTCCTATTTCTGCTTCAAACAGTAAATCATTCATAATCTTTTCTGCAACACACATGGTAATTCCATCTAAAGCCCTCAGTTTTATCGCAATATTTTTGGCAATAATATCACAGCGGTCTTCTGTTTTTTCACGAGGACGTTTAAAATGATCTCGTACAGATTCTAATAGTTCATTCGTTATGGATTCATCTTTTCTTTTTGCTTTATCCGGTTTTGGTGGGCGTGATGAATAATTATTTGACGATCTTGATTGGACCTCGGTATTGTTAGTTGTTTCACCGTTAGATGAATTTGTTTGATCTAAATCTCCCTGAAAATAAACTATGTGTTAATTTATTTTACAAGCTAGATTTTATGCTAGGACAAATAAGATAATAGCTGTTTTCTTTTATTTCAGTTTCCTACATCTGAAGAAGAATGGAAAGGCGTAGCAAAGATGTATGAAGAAAGATGGAACTTCCCTCATTGTCTTGGTGCAATAGATGGGAAGCACATAGCTATTGTTCCACCGGCTAATAGTGGATCGTATTATTTTAATTATAAAGGACATCATAGTTTAGTTCTTATGGCAATTGTTAATGCAAAATATCAATTCATGTACATCGATGTTGGCATGAATGGTAGAATGTCTGATGGAGGGGTACTACAAAATACTGTATTTTTTGAAAAATTAGAAAATGGTGAATTACATATACCAAGCAGTGAAACGTTAACAGGAACCAACCGAAATTTGCCATATGTGTTTGTGGCAGACGATGCGTTTCCATTACGCCCCGATATGATAAAACCGTTTAGGCAAGCCAATTTAACATCGCATGAAAGAAAAATTCTAAATTACAGATTATCTCGCGCCAGACGCGTAGTAGAAAACGCTTTTGGAATAATGGCATCACGATTTCGGATATTTTATACTCATATAAATTTAGAACCCGAAAATATCGATAAAGTAGTTAAAGCTTCTTGTGTATTACATAACTTTTTAATTGAACGCTCAAAAAGATCTTATGCACCTCAAGAATGTTTCTATCGAGAAAATTCGGAGAGTGGGAATATAATTTCTGAAGGATATAATACACAGAATAGTACAATGGAAAACTTGGAAAGAAGAAACCCAGGAAATACTTTGAACACCGCGAAGATTGTCCGAGAAAATTTTATGAATTATTTTAATGAAGAGGGAACAGTACCATGGCAAGATAATTATGTTACTTAAATTATGCTTATTATTATTATTATTATTATTATTAAATGAGTGGAGTAAATAGTAATGTGTTCTATTCAACTTAATTAAAAAAATAAAAACAAAACTAATATTTCCTATTTACAGTACCATATTATATATAATTAAAATTAAAATTAAAAATATTATATATTTTATAATTAAATATTTAGTTTTTATTTTGGTTTTATAGTTTGTAGATTTGCTTAAATAAAAACTTTTATGTAAAAAAATTTACCAACCTCACAACTATCTTCGTCACTATCCAAGTTGGATGAAGATTCCCTGGGAGTGCATTGATCATGTAGGAAATCAAATAAATCGTAGTACCACAATTTTACATGATACACTTCATCAGCAGATGCCCCAGACTTTACAGATTGTTCATATCTCTTTTTTTCCTTTCTGACATTGCTTCTTAAATTATTAATTTTTCGCACAACTACTGATTTGTTCGCATCCGGCTCAATTTCTCTGAGTTTTTCTATAAGCAATTTATAAGCAGCTTCTTTTTTGTCTCGATCATGGTACTCTTTGTTTTTGACTTGCCAAAGGCATGGATTCATTTTATATATTTCAATAAAATCTTCAAGGACTTTTTTAGTAGAATCTGTTGGTGCCATTTTTGCGTAATGAAATTTTTATACACGTGCCAATACGATATCACATTATCACTACACGATGCGGCAACAACCGACGGCGACAACGTTATGAATGACAACTGACGTGACCTGCGCAGGCGACCGGAGTACATGCACACACGCACAGGTACACCGTATGGTGTCACTCGAAAAAATTGATTTTCGATCTTGCACCGGTCGCCTGTACAGGTTGTTAAAACTGCACAGGTCTATTCCCACACACGCTCCGGTATACCTGCACAGGCATGCCTGCACAGGTATACCTCTCCGGTAGACCGTTACGTGTATGGCCACCATAAGCCGAACCAAAACCTAAATCTATTTTTAAACACCAAATGTAAACGATTTTTCATCCACGCGCGTAATGATAATATGAAAATATAAAATATTCATCATTTGAATTTATACCTATTGGCTATTTTATTTTAAGTAATAAGTAATGTAATAATAACAAATTATTTTTGAACAGCGGCCCACCGGGAAAGTTCCCGGTTTCCCGCCGGCCCAGTCCGCCCCTGAACACGACGCCTTGAGAAATTACAATATACATAGTTTAAAGTTTAAACACTATCTTAAATAATAATTTTAATAATAGTTTTATTGCTCTTTATATTATAAAAGACACATGATTATATTTTTTTTTTAACAATTGGTTATTGAAACTTGATTGTAAAATGTCAGTTAAAAACCTATGAAATCACTCTGCATAGATGTCGAGTGTATATTATGGTCATTGCAGAAGTCTAAGGCAATCTTTTTGTTAATTTTTAATTCGATAGGTACTTAAATATTATTGAATAGATACATTATAATTATTATTATTATAACTATTGTTATTATTATTTAATACTAAAAAACATTAACAAAAAGGGTTTGTCTCTTTATTTGTAATCATAGGCGTGTCCAGACCTCATTCGCAGTTCATGCACAACTGTGGAATATCCAGGAGAAAGAAAAACTACACCCCCTCCCCGGCCAATAAAAAATTCTGTTAGGGTATTGAGATATGACCCCCGAATTTAAAAATTTTAAATTAATTATTTTGATTTAGATCAAATTTTGCAGGTCATGCCTGTCAGGCAAGACCCGTGGACACGCCTATGTTTGTAATAAATATTACACTATGCATTTACATTAAAAGATGAATAAAAGTAATATTCATCAATAATTATATCTATGACACTTTTTTTTTTTAAATTTTAATTTAACTCATTTAATTCTATTGGTGGCATGACTCCAAGATCCAACATAAAAATTAGATAATTCTAAAAAGGATTAGAACACTGTTTCTGTTTGAGGTGGTTATGTACCTGAATTTCTAAATAACGAAGACTATGAACAACGATATCTAACTGAAATAATTAAACATTAATAAAGTAAATCTTAAACGAATAGAATTCGGAGATTTGAAAAGCATAATATTTACTTATTTACAATACTCAGTAAAATAAAATAAAAATATTTAATTAATTAATGTGATCTCTTATTTCCTTATAATTCTACACGAAAACATATAAGTTATAAAGTGTGTGGTTCTTTCATTTTGACGTAACCGACAAAAATATGTCATAAACAAAATGTCATACTTAATTATAGTATGCGTATATTATACTGTTCAGTATTCAAATTAGGATATGAAAAAAACACTATTATATTTATGCTTAATTAAACTTATAGGTACTTATAGGTTATGAAAAACATTTATAAGTATCTATAGTATTATTTAATTCTATATTACATAATAAATCATACTACATCTATTCAAGGGTGGATCCGGGGGGGAGGGGCACTGGTGGCAAGTGCCACCCCCGTTGGAAAAAAATTTTTATGCATTTTACATTTTTTTTTTTTTAGGTGGGGGCTATATTTATATTATAAAATTTTTCCTATAAAGTGCCCCAACCGTAAATACATGCTGGATCCGCCCCTGGACCTATTGACGCTAATGACTGGTACGAGTAATTAAAATTGTAATTAAGTTAGTGACATAAGCAAAATGTTGCTGGAATTATAGAATCTGGGGGGGATGGCTGCATGAAGTTGCCCCCTGTCTTATTTTGCTTATAGCGGGCAGGGAAATGATTTGCAAATTCTGAAAACCAATTTGCAAAATGAGTACATAATTTTCAAAAAAATCGGTCATGGTGGGGGGGCCAACTTCACGCACGTCAAGTAACCCCTGCTAAAATAATTCTGCACAAGGCGTATTTAGGATTTTATTGCCCTGGGTTGCCCCCCCCCCCCACAAATTGGTTTTATCATATTGCCAATTGGCAATTTTTCTCACCCATAAAAAGTTTCGTGTTAGAATAACAGCGCACCTATTACAAAATGAAAAAATGACAATATTTTGGAGAGCAAGACGGTGAGTAGTTTTAAGACTGTGCAAGTTAATGATTTTTTTAAACTCAGTTAAGTTAAAAATGAATACACACTTTTTGTTAACTTTTTATTAAGCATACTTAATTGTTTTCCAACCTAAAACTAAATTATTACCTATACCTTGTGTTTATACTTTACACAGTATTTTCGTATAAGTTAGATTGGAAAAATATAAAATTTTTAACTTTAAAAAATTCACGGCCATAAATATTTGTTTATATTTCTACTGGTCAATATTTGTTGACATGAAAACGATATAAACTGAAATAGTGAAATGTAATAAAATTTAAACAAAATAAATTAACTTAACTTACTTCTTAAAATGAAAAATTAATTCTTTAATTTCACGTTAATAAAAAAAGAAATTTAGTAAGTAATAGCATTGATTATATATATAAGTATATATAATCAATGGTAATAATAATAATATTTATTGATACCAAATTAGAATTACAAACATGTTACAAAATAAAATAGATAAATTAATTGATCTTTAGTTCTCTTTTCAAAAGCAAAGCTTGTGCAGAAAAGAGAGAGCTGTGATCCAAAGTCGTTAATAATTAAGAAAATAGAGAATAAATAAGAACAATATAAATAAAGATAATATAACAATTCAGTATTAGAACAAAATGTATGCTGGATGGTTATATCTTATAGGTATAAGCATAAGTACAGACTATGTTAAACCCATTAGGTGCCTTAGCGAAATTATGTTGATATGCTAAGTTGTACTTATGAGTATAACAACAGAAAAAGAGAAAAATAAAATGCAGTAAGAAATAGATAATTAAGAAGAAAACTTAATATAATACATATACACAATACATTACATAAAATTATTAAAGTAAAACATTATTTATATATTTTTTATACATTTTAAAACAGTTAAAATCATGTAAATTAAAATTATATTTAATACAAATGATATAAACTTATATTTAAAGTTCTGCTGCCCGAATACTGTATTCATTTTGGGGACAATGACATTAGTATTAGCCTTTAAGCAAGTATTATAGTTATGACATGGAGCATCAATATAGGTTTTCATATTATAAAATAATAGGCAAATGTTCTTGGTGTATAAAGCTTTTAAATTGAATACCTCTAATTCTTTATATAAATTAACAGTAGGAAATAATTTAAAAAAGCAAATGTTTATTTAGAATTGAAATATCGTAAAAAATGATGCTTTTATAAGTAATAATTAAATTAATAATATTATATTTATATTAATTTATAATACAGACAATATTCTAAACTTTATGTTCGATAAAAGGTGAATATCACTTTCAATGGGAAAGCTAATAACACAATATTGGTTCTGCTGAAAGAAAATGTACTGAGTATGTAATCTATATATGCGTAGGTTATAGAGAAAAAATATGCTGACATCCATTAAATAGTAAATTATATTTATGACGATCGAATCTTTTAATTATGTAATTGTACATTTAATTTTACAAGTGAACGCGTACATTTTTAGTTGTACTTACAATTGAATATTGCTAAGCATCCAATTCGTAACTAAGAGAAATATGATGACATAGTAACTATACAAATTAATAATAATATCACAGCTTGTAATCGCCACATTCAGTACACTCTCTTCTACAGGACACTCATAGTTTTTAATTAAGAAGTTATTTAAACATATTTTTAACAGTTATGTAAGTACATGTTGAGATATTATAATTGTATCATAATGTATTCTTGTATTTTATTAATCTTTAATATTACACTCTAGACAATCATTATGGATCATTCACAAAATTTAAATCGTGATCAACACTTTTACTCGACTGAACGCGATAATGCAGATATTTTACTGTTGGAAGCTTGTTTAAAACAAACGGAGGGACAGAAAAATATATTGGAAGCAAAGGTGGCCAAGCATGATCGGGTGAAAACAGAAATGTGTGATTTGCAAATGAAGTTGGATAATCTCCAACAAACGATAGAAGAGAAAAAGATACTTCACCAACAGTCTTATGATGAAGTCAATCAAGAATTAGAAGCGACATCATCGAAGTACAGCCAAACATTGAGTACGGTAGAAGAGTTGGAACAAGATAACCATGAGTTGGAGTGCAGTATACGATGTCAATCGTCTAAAGAATTGCAGATCGTTGAAAAGATCAATAAGTTGGAAATTTCGAAGACAAAAACTATTGAATGCAATAATACAATTTGGGATAAAATCAATAGCGAAAAAGTAATTTTGACTGCATTATTTGGGAGTATCAAGGTCAGGCTTTATCTGAGATACTTTCATGTATCAAAGAACTAATTTTATCTTGTAGGTATCAAGAAAAAACGGACTACAATAATACAATGAACTAGTATTGCAATGTATGGGGGTTCATATTTTTTAAGTGTTTCGCTTTGGTATATTCACATTAAATTATTCTTGTATTTAACTACGAACTATAAACTATATTTTATAAAAGTTAAATTAAATTAATTTATATTTTATGAAAATATTAGTTGGGTTATCATCGATAATCATATATTTTATTCAAGATTAGGGGTAGTGTAAATGCAGAGTAATTAATTGTTACACCTCATAACGTTTCGATACCAGCCCTTATATTTGTTCGTGCTGTACCTATACTTGTAGGTATTATATTATATTATATTTAATGTCCAATCATATTCGTCAATACGCAAAGACTTTTTGCGGCAAATGTGGAATCTCCTAAAAACATCACTGTAAATATATGTATCCCACTGTGACCGTTTTTCTAAAAACTTTGTAGTACAATATAATATCAATATTTTTTCTGTGATGCAGGAGTGTGTGAAGTCGCTGCAACGGCAACAAGCTGACTTAGAATCAGCGATCGGTTGCAAAACCTCCGAAGCACAAAAGTTACGAGTCGCGTTAACCGAAAAGCAGGCGATGGTTCAGTGCAAATCAAACCAGTTGACCGAACTTCAGCAGCAAAACAATCATAGTGACAGGTCCCTGCAGGAACTAACAACTGAGTTTAGGGAACGGGAAGCAGAACTGGAGGCACATAGGCATGCGGCACTGGAAAAGTTGGCTAGGGCGGACCAGTGTATAGACATGATTCGCCGAGAATTGTCTGATGCGTGCGCCGCATCGGTCGGTTGGAAAACCAAAAGTCAAAATGCTGCCAACGTGCTCTGTGAATTTAAAGCATCCCAAAAAGTGGAACAGTGTCGCGTGAAAGCTATCCTCGTAGAGCTGGGCGAGGATCAGTGCCGGTTGGCTGAACAGCTAACGGACACATTGCTCCAGCTCAAGTGTGCGGCGGCTGAAAACTGCCAGCTTACGGCCGACGGAAAAGTTTTGGCCGAGCGATTGGCCTGTCTGTTGGCTGAGATAGAGCGTCTGGATAAGCGCAAGTTCTCCGATTGCCTCTCTCCGATGACGCAGTGCACAGCATTTGAAACCCAGGACGACAAGACTGCCAGAAAGTGGAATACATTGGAGTCGGTCGAAAATGAGGTAGAGCGGCTGAAATGGGCGTGCGAAGACCGCGAACGAGCAATCAAGGACGCGAAAGGAAAGCTGGGTGACTGTTATACAACCAGCGCGAGATCCGATTGTCGTTACGAGTACTGATCGACAGATTATTCAAGGGGGCTCTAAATATATTACACGCACCTTCAAGTTTGGCTTCAATGGCCCACTAACCAACAAAAAATACTGTGCACCTCAAACAATGTTACTGAAATTGTTTTTTTTATTACATTAAAATTAAATGAAATAAACTTTTCATTGTTTCAATTTCATAACTTTACTATAAGTGTTAGCATCGTCCATTGGTCGAAATTCTACTAAAAACCTGGTTTAATTAAAATTTTAACAAAGTTTAGAGTTTGTGCTTCTCCATTTATTTGTTTGAACATCTAGTATGGGAAAACATATACTTCATATTTTAGTATTTTTTTTTCACATTGTGCCTATAATCTACAACTAATTAATAAACTAATTTTATTTTATTGTATAACATGACTTCACCCGGTGAAAATGCCATTCTTACAATTAAAAACGATTCTGAGCAAAGACGGTCTAATTGTTTGGTAACCAGTGTTACCAAATAATTAAAGACTGTCTAATTTTTTTGGTAACCAGTGTTATTAAATAATTATTTTAATAATAATATTTAAATATAAACAGATAGTCGTACATACATTTTAAAATTTTTCAATTTCTATAAAAATTGCTGATAATTATCAATTTTGACCTAATAAAAATTACAAAATAGACCCCTTGAATACCAATTTTAAATTCTTCGAGTTAATTTTTAATTTTTTTAAAAATCGAATTTAGGAGACTTATGAACCCAAACCCAATTCTTGTTTTTAAAAAAAATTA